GGGGCGAGCACTTTATTATCTGCAGTCAAAGCGTCACCACAAATACCGGTCTACACACACACGTGTCACTTCCCATTTGTCTCCTCCACGAGGTATTAGCCCGGCACAGGCACCGTGCTCTGTGCCACCACAGCCACCGTGCCACTGCGGGAAGATGCCACAGTGCCACCCCAAAGCCATCCTGATGCTGTCCCACTGTCAGCCAAGTGCCACCCCAATGCCACCCTGGTGCTGTCCCACTGTCAGTCCATTGTCACCCCAAAGCCATCCTGGTGCTGTCCCACTGTCAGTCCATTGCCACCCCAAAGCCATCCTGATGCTGTCCCACTGTTAGTCCGTTGCCACCCCAATGCCATCCTGGTGCTGTCCCACTGTCAGTCCATTGTCACCCCAAAGCCATCCTGGTGCTGTCCCACTGTCAGTCCATTGCCACCCCAAAGCCATCCTGGTGCTGTCCCACTGTCAGTCCATTGCCACCCCAAAGCCATCCTGATGCTGTCCACTGTCAGTCTGTTGCCACCCTGATGCTGTCCCACTGTCAGTCCATTGCCACCCCAAAGCCATCCTGATGCTGTCCCACTGTTAGTCCGTTGCCATCCCAATGCCATCCTGGTGCTGTCCCAGTGCCACCCTCGTGATACTCAAGTGCCACCTCAGCACCACCATGATACTGCCCTAATGTCACCTGTGTGTCACCCAACGCTGCCCAAGCACAGCCCTGAGGCCACCCCAACACAGCTGCCACCCCAATGCCATGCCAGTGCCACCTTTCAGAAGCCCTGATGCCATTTCACCACAGAGCCTCCGAGAGACCCCGGGAGTAGGAGGGGACCCCACCACCTCTGTTGGCCCTGCAGCTCATCCCAGCTGCCCCCAGCCCCTCTGCTCACTCATCCACAGCCAATTAATATTTTAATTAATTTAAGACACGGGTTCTGTATCTGCCAAGGGGAGCAGGGTGGGCACCTCCAAAGCAGGGTGCCCCATCCTGGGGTCTGCCAGTGCCCAGGAACCTGCTCTGTGGCCAATGGGCCATCACAATCCTGGGAAGTTTGGACACAAACCAAACCTCCTCGTGCACTGCACCATTACCAGCCAAGCCCACCCCAAATCCAGGCCTCTGACCTGGCAGGAGACGGGCACTGAGCAGCACCACCTCATTCTCCACACATGACCAATGGAAAAGTGTTTTTGCAGCGATTCCTGGCAGGGAAAGTGCAAGTGAACAGCACATTTTGGGCCCAGCAGTTAATTGAACTCCTTTTTATGGCACGTATATAAATACACAGAACCATCATTAACCGATCCCTTCCAGAAACTGAAAATGAAAGAATTAATCTTACTTCACTCATGTGTAACCCCTCATGAAATTAAAATGATATTTTATGGGTGTGTACAAAAGAAAAGCCTCGCTGCAGCCACTCTAATGAAAATGCCCTTGGAACAAGCAGAATTGGGTAACGAGAGGCCATTAAATGGGGCCTCATCCCGTGTGCAATTAACTGGTTTATCACTGATGAGAGTCCCCACAGGTGCAGGGAGAGCTGTGGGTGACCCTGAAGGCAGGGAGCCCTGGCCATCACCTCTCATTAGGGCTATCCCCTCGTTAGTGTTTAAATACCCAGATGGGCCCCGGGAGGGTTTGTGCCACCCCCAAAGAGCCATTTATCACACTGTCCCTGTGGGGCTGAGGTGACAGCTCCCATGGGACCCCTGGCATGGAGGATGTGAATGGTGAAAGAATCCCCAGGCTGGTTTGGGCTGCAGGGACCTCAAAGCTCATCCAGTGCCACCCCCTGCCATGGGCAGGGACACCTTCCACTCTCTCAGGTAACTCCAAGCCCTGTCCAGCCTGGTCTTGGACACTTCCAGGGATGGCACAGCCACAGCTTCTCTGGGCACCCTGTGCCAGGGCCTCTCTACCCTCACAGGGAAGAATTTTTTCCCAAAATCCATCTATCCCTTCCCTCTGGCACTGTGAGGCCATTCCCACTCATCCTGCCATTCCACAGTCTTGTAAATAACCCCTCTCCATCTTTCTTGTAGGCCACAGAGGAAGCTCACAAGGTTCACCTCTGTGAACTCCCCATGGCTCCCAGCCCCTTTAGGGGGACACACATCCTGCTCCCTGCCACACTCCCAGCCCCAGGCTGGCTGGAGGAGGGCACATGGAATATAACATTTCATTAAATATCATCCACTGCTCCGTGACTGCTGAGAGTGGGAGCAGCAAAGAGTTTGGCCAAGCTGAGAGGGGCATTATTTGATTTATAATTTAAATAAAGCTCAGGATTCCTGTAATGCACCCAGGATAAAATCAAAAGGGACCAGGCTGCTGGAGTTAATTGGACGTGATATTTTCCTGAGGATGCTGCTGCTCTGCAGGCTCCTCTGCTGGAGGAGGGAGGCACAGGCAGGGCTGGAAGGGCTCTGGCACCTTCCTGCACCCTCCTCAAGGCATGCCAGGCTGGCTCCTACAGAACAGCCTTGGGAATACCGCTGGCAGCAGCAGCAAAGTCACCTCCAGCTCTATCAGGATGGATTTTGTGGGATGCTCCAGGCCCGCTGGGATGCAGCCACACCGATGTGGGGGGCACAGAGATGGGGGGGACAACACTCAGCAGGAAAGGCCAGGGGCAGAACCGGGGGATGAAGGCACCAGCAGCTCCCTGCATGGGCAGGAAAATGAGTCAGCTCACCTTTTACGTGAAATTAATACCAAAATTAATCAGCGGCGCGGGCAGGATAATAGGATTTCACAGTGGTGCCGGGCCAGACGGCCAATGTGCCGAGAGCCAGACTCATTTAATATCGACAGAAACAATGCCAGAGGACAGAAATAAGACCCATAAAGATAATTACTGAGATACTCAGGAACAAATTAAGTAATCAGAGGCACTTCTAAATGGCGCCTGGTTTGAAGAGCGCGCTCTCCGCGCCGATTCCCCGCGCGGGCGCTCCGGTGGCAGCGGGAGCTCAGCCCCGTGCCAGCTCCCAGCCCCTCCACTGTGCTTCCCACAGGTGCCATAAATAAGGAAGGGAAAATTGTATTCCAAGCCAGATGCGTGGCCCTGGATGTCACCTGCAATTTAATTTGCGCTGGCAGGAGGCAGAGAGGAGCGAGACGTGCCGGATTTGCCCATAATGAGCGGAAACATACGGGCAGCTAAACTTTGATTAAGGTGACCTGGCTGGTGGCAGCCGGTGGTGAGTGCAGCGTGGGGGTCTGGGCAGGAGCTTGGCTGCTGCCACCCATCCTGGGGGGACACAAGTCCCTTGGAGATCTCAGGTGAGCACGGCCCTGCCTGAGGGATGAGGTGAGACCAGTCTCTGTCTCCTGGGTACCCCGCGCTGCCAGGGTCTGGGGTGGGGTCAAACTTCTGTCCTCATCCCACTGGCACAACTCCAGGACCACCAGGACCTTGGGGCTGGGACCCTCCCAGCACACAGGCAGCTGTATCCAGGAGCATCTCTCACACCCATGGCACCGTATGTGACACCATGTAAGGGCTCCTGCTTCCCAAACCCTCCTTATTTCAGCACCTATGGCAGGGTGGGAAATGCTAGAAAGCACCAGCCCCCCAGCAGGAAGGTGCCTCTGGGGTCTGTTCCATGAGCTGAGATGCTCCTTAGCTCTGCTGGGAATGCTGTGGGAACCAGCAGGTGTATCCTGACCCCAGGAACACAACAAGCTCACACAGAGATTCTCAATGCTGAACACCTCCAGTTTTTCTCCAGAAAACCCTGTCAGGCTCATCCTGCCCGTGGGTCTCAGACCATGTGGGCATGGCTGGGCTCATTATTCCATGGCAACGAGGTGCTCCAGGAGCTGGACACCTCTCGCCAGCCCTGCGCTGCCGCGATGCTCAGGCGTTACGGATTACGAATAATTTTACAACAGCAGCATCCTTTTTTCCTTCCAGACACCAATAAGGAGGAAACCTGGGAGGCACTGCATGCTCCAGTGCAGTACAAGCTGCACTGTGACACCTGGGTGCCCAAAACCCCACTTCTGGTCTGGGTGTCCTATTCCCTGTGCTTTTCAGAGCGTCACACAAAAAAATCATGGAATCCAGAATGGTTTGTGTTGGAAGTGACCTTAAAGATCACTCACTTTCCCCGCTGCCATGGGCAGGCACACCTTCTGCTCCAAGCCCTATCCATGGCCATGAACATGATACATTTCAGGGATAAAAGAACTTCCCTCCTGGCTGGCAGCGCAATGGTGAAGCGATGCTGGGGGTCCCCAGAGAGGCTGAACATCATCCAAAATCCATGCCCAGCTTGCCCAAACCCCATGCCCAGCTCACCTGGCTGCTCAGGGTGCTCAGGTAGAGGGGAAAAAAAAACATCTACAGGAAAATCCAGCTCATTAAACAAACACCCGGGGGCTGTCACAGCCTAACAAGCAGAGCTTTAGCAGCTGATTTGTCTTCAGCCGGCAATGTTTAAAAATCCAACTGAGACCAGCAGAAAAATATCCACTCCCCTCTTTAAAACACACATTCATCACTTGAGAATCTTAATGCGTCTTTCCCAGCCGGGGAGGTCAAACACGCCTGCCTAAAGCAGGCTCATTAAATATACATTTAATCACGGTTTGGATTGAGAGACAAAGGCTGGGAGAGACAGGTGCTTTGCCGGAGTGACCTTTTGGATCCCATTTTAATGTAACTAGTTTACAGCTTATCTGAAAGGCCAGCTCCTGGGGAAGGCGAGCTGCAGCACAAACGGGGAAAGTAATTAGGGGGGGAAGGGCCGGGGAGGTTTGGGGGGCTGACTGCACCATCCTCTGCTGCCGCCACGCTTCCCAGGCAGCTCTGCAACATTTGCTGAAGTTGGACTTATCAACAACAGAACCCAATTTAATTTGCTTATCTTGGCTCCTTCCTCCCCCTCTCCTCCCCGCTTCTCCTGCTCTTTTTAATTATCGGTTAAATAAATGTCTTTTTCAATAAGGGAAACAGCATCAAAGCGGGCGCCCGCCCCCGGGCACTTACACTTGCGTGGCTCCAGCGCCTTGTTGGGGCAGGGGAGGTGCTGGGCTGGGGGGTTCTGGGTCCTCTGCAGGCAGGCCAGCATGGTCCAGGCTTCCCTGCGGGCGTTGCCGCCCCGTGCCCTGCGAGAGAGGAGACACACGGTGAGCCAGGGACCTGCCACCCCCTGCCACCACCCCCTGCCACCACCCCCTGCCACCACCCCCGTGCCCACGCGGCAGGAGCCCCCCAGCACTCAGTGCCTTCGCTCCTCTGGAGATAAACAAGTAACTCTGAAAGCCTGAAATGAAGAGGGATGTATATAAAATAAATATGAAGGTCTCAGCGGGTGATTTGCACTTCCTGCAGAGCTTTCCGCCCTTCCCACTGGGAATGTGGCGGAGCCGGGGCGTCGTGGCGGTGCCAGACCGCTCCGCTGGCGTGCCAGCCGGTGCCTCCTGGCACGGAGTGACCCCGGCCAAGGCTGGGGAAAGACAGTGTTAACATCCCACTCGGGGTCCTGGGATCTGCCGCCAGCTCCCAGCTGGCATCAAAATCCGCTTGACAAAAGCTGGAGGGGTCAGGCCAAAGTCGTCGTCACCACGGTGCTGCTCATTGTACATCCTTCCCCAGCCGCCGCCAGGGCCCTGAGTTATAACCAGTTGCTGCTGACACCCTCCCACTGCTCCAGCTGGCGCGGGGAGCGATATTCCCACTCGGAGAGGGCAGGGAGACGTGGGCAGGAGCAGCAGAGAAGCAGGCGTGGTGCCCATCTGCCAGCATTTCAGCTCCTGTGCTGCTGCTCTCTGGCTGAACGTTCATGGGTGGCTGGGGGTCACAACTGGACATCCTGGATGGGTGTCACAGCTGGGTACATCACTCCATCTTCTCATTTGTGGGGGAATTGTGCCTTCCTGCAGCCATCTGGGATGCTTCCCACATGTCCCAGTGCTGGCTCGGGCGTGCAGGGAATGATGCGGTGGCCTCAGGCACGTGGTGGCCTCTGGCAGAGCCCGTGACCGTCAGCACAAGGAAATAAAGTATGGATTGATGCTCCCTGAGCTGTGCCCGGGGCTCTCCAAGCTCTGCTGGTTTAAATGTCACCATGGGCACACACAACAGGACCTGTGCTGCTCGCTCCTGCTCTGTGCCCTCCACCAGGCAGAGGGTGCCAGGCTCTGGGATAATGCCCAGGATGGGATCCATGCAGGGTGTCCATGCCTCAGCTGGGCTCATCAGGCTCAGGGTCTCACCCTGACTCCCCCAGCAAAGCAAGGACAAGGAGCAACTCATCGGCAAAAAGGTGTGAGGAAGAGGAGGAGGAGGAGGAGGAGGAGGAGGAGGAGGGGAGGAAGTCATCTAATACCGAGCAGGTGTCTGGAGAACCCAAATTGTGCTGTTTTCTCCTAATAATGAAGTATTCATGAGTAAAAGCCTTTTTCACTACTTTCTTAAGATACTAATTTCACAACAAGCGCCTTGTTACCATGCAATTATTCCAATCGTGCATTTCTCCCAGATTCCATCTGTCCTCGCGCTCTCTAAATGAAAGACAATCATGTAACCACCTTTCATTATTCACTATTTTACTTTCAGCAAAGGTACCCTGAAAGAAATGATTTCCTCTGAAAGGGACTTTTATTCAGTTTCAAAACCAATTTTCTCCTATTACTGTCTTAAAAAAAAAAGGAGGGGGGCAGGGAGGTGTTTTTATTTCATGCATTACATATCCTTTGTTAACGCAGCTCGCAGTAAAAGCAGCCGTATCCATTTTCTGGCTTCGATTTCTGGTAATTTTAAAATATGCCATTACAATCAGGCAGAAATTATACAATTTGAAAAGAGAATGAAGTGCTTCTTATTCAGAGCCTGAACGCACTTGACTGCCAGGAGTTCTCCTCTCCCCGCCGGGACTTGGGGTTCATTACGCAGCCCCGCTCCCGGCGCCTTGGCTCCCCCGGAACGTGCCCGGCACCCGGATTTTCCATGACGGGAGCTGCCACCCCGACCTCATTCCCATCCCTATCCCTGTCCCCCAAGGGTGGCCCCGGATCAAAGCACCCACGGCCGTGCAGGAGATGGATGATGGCACCGGCTGCTGCCGTACCTGAGCCTGAGCTCCGCGGTGACCTCAGGGCTGGCGTCCTGCCGGGTGTCACCATCTGGCCGATTAGCGGCGGACGTCACCCGCTCCCTGCGCCGAGGCAGCTCCTCGCGGGGACACTGACCCGTGTCCCTGGCAGACACGGGCGGCGTGGGCGGCTCGTGCCGCTGCCGGATGCGGATCAGGTCCCTGCTGGTCCCTGGGGCACGCGAGGCTGAGGGCGAGGAGAAAGCACCCAGGGGGTCACCAAACCCATGTGCTGGCACAGGGAGGGTGTGGATGCAGCCTGCCACAGGAGCTGAGCGCACCCTGAGGGCCCAGCAGAGCCCTGGAGACACCGCCATGCTGGCGCAGGTTGTCCCCACGATTCTGCGCCCTGCCACGCACAGCCCAGCTCCCTCCTGGAGCCATCCCGACCCTGGGCTCGGATCATCACCGGCAGCAGGCGGGAGAGGCGCAGGAGCCACACGCCAAACTGAATAAAGCCACCGATTAATTCAGGCCCTGCTGCTGCCCCCGTCTCCCGGCGTCTCGCAGCCCAGGTGATTTTTCCGACAGCTACGCTGCTCCTCACCCCACCTTCACAGGCACGCTCAGAACCGGGAAGGCTCTGGTGCCACGACCCCAGAACAGCGTCCATCTGTCCACCCCAACACCCTGCTGGGAGCCCCGAGCCCCAGAAGGCCCGTGGGCGAGCGGGTGGGCGCCTGGCACAATGGGCATCTGTGCCACGGTGGCATTTCGCTAATGCCACTCCGAAAAGCCCCTGAATCAGCTGATGGGAATTGGGCGCTGGGCTGTCCAACGCTTAGCGCCGGCTTAGTTAGCTCCATCTGCATTTGAACTAATTCCAATCAGCAGGATCCGATTTAGTTCAAGCTGCTCTGGCTCTTTCGTGGCAGGGAAGGCAACACTCAGCAGTTTTGCTGGAATGCCCCGAGTCCGCACGGCCTCTGGCCAGGCTGTGCACATGGATCCACCATCACCCAGCACTGGGGCACAGGGTGAGTCCCACCAACAGTGGGGTCCCTTGGGGACATCTGGAGCAAGGTTCCCTAGGAGCCCCAACCCCATATCCCACAACTCTGGCATCACAGAATCACCAAATGGTTTGGGTTGGAAGGGACATTAAAGCCCATTCTCTCCCACTCCCTCCCATGCACAGGCATGTCTTCCACTAGACCAGGATGCTCCAAGCCCTGTCCAACCTGGCCTTGAACACTTCCAGGGATGGGGGAGCCACAACTCCATCCTTCCCCTCTCCCACCACTCCATCCTGCCCCACACCCAGCTAATCCATCTCCACATCACACTATTTATAAGCCCAAGGTCTTTGTGACTTTAATAAAAAACACCACCCTCCATGTCTAAAGCCCCAGTGATGGGAGGGTTTGGCACCTCCTCTGACATCAGCAGCTGATAAGTCGGGCTTATCTCCTGCGAGAGCCCTGCGAAGGTCCCTCCCGCGAGATAAGGCCAGCGCAGCTGTCGATAGAGGCTTTTGCAGGCGAGGATTTAGATAAAAGAAAATGTGACGGGAGGGGGGAGAAAAGAAAAAAGGAACTTTTAAAGTCTCAGCCTGAAGTGGGTCTGTGTGGCTGCTGAGCTGTGGCAGGGTGGGGACGGTGAGGGACAAGGTCTTGGTCACTATCCAGGCTGTGGTGGAACACATCCAGATCCTTCCCCAGGTGTTATTGGGGTGCAATCCCATCAAAAAAGAGCTTTTGAGGTTGGGAGAGGAAAGGGGGGCAGGACCAGGGATGCTGCAAAGCTGTTTGAGTCACACCATGGCTGTATCCCCCCTGGCTATCAAAAGCCAGCACAGGGTTTGGCACAAGGACAGGAGGTGAGAGGTGACCCCGGCTGGGAGAGGCACAGGAGGCTCCTGACAGTGCCAGACAGACAGACGGACAGCACGGGGCAAGGCCAAGGCTGGCAGCAACCAGAGAAACAAAGCAAAAGCCCTCACTGGCCCTTGGTGTGAAGAGTACAACTGGGAACATCCCTGTCCCTCATCCCTCCACAGATGGAGGAGAATCCAACCACACCAGCAGGGAGCTCCCCTCCCTCACAGCCCCGGGGACATCGGAGCTCCCCGTCACTGCCACCACCACTGGTCCCACGGACACTGATTTCCCATCCCATGCCGAGGGTGAGGAGGTGCCAGAGGAGGAAGAATTCCTCTCTGCACACAGTGGATGCTCACCCATTGCAGAGCGAGCAGCATTTTGGCTGGTGCTGCTGCCTGGCACTGCCACTCTCATCTCCCATCCAGATTTAGGGTGGAGGGGATGCAGCGACGCTACAGCTCAGCCCTGCAAGGAGTGAGCACAGAAAGGTCACCCCACTGTGAACCACGGGGAGCATCAGGTAAAATAAAACCCGAAGTTTGTCACCAAAGGTCACCCCACAACCTTCCCTTGCCCGACCTTCCCTCATCCCGCCCGGCTAATCCGCTCCCCTCCGCGTGCTCCAGCCCCAGGCCTTTCAGGGGGCCCTGTTAATAATTAAATGTTAATCTAAAAAGCAATTTTAGCTGCAGTGCTGCAGATCTGGTTAGAGATTACATTAGCATGTAAGAGTCAAGGGTAATTTTCTCTAACCCCTCTTGTGATCTTTAAAACCCGCAGATCTTAAAGCAACACCAGCTCCTCTGATTAAAATTGGAAGCTGGGGTTTGCGATGGATAATGATGCTGGAAGTGATTATTTTGCTGCTCAGGGTCTTGCTGGGATGTGGGGACTGTGGGGGGCTGGGGGAGAGACTCAGAGCAGCCAAGTGGCTTCTCCCAGCCCATGCTCTGTGGAAATACTGGGAAGGTGCTGGGGTGAGCCCTGGACCCAGCGCTGAGCAGAGCTGTGACACCTTGAGCATCCTCATTTCCCACTTTTTTGGGCTGCTGTGACACCAGGATGGCACAAAGCCCACAAACCGTGGCACAGTGCCAGGGACAGAGTGGCACTGGACCACTCACTGCTACAGGCATCCTACAGCAGCACCTCATGTCTCTCCCATCCCACCCAGAGATGAGGTTTCTGCTCTTGTGGCAGCTCCAAGGAGAAACCCCTTGGAC